AGGGTACTTATCGCAGCGGATCAGCTCCTTTGCCGCCGCGCCAAACTCTTGTCTCCTCCTCAGGACCTCCGCAGACAGATCAGGGTAGAATCTCAGTTGAGAGCCGCCATAATGAATGTCTCGCTTCTTCTTAGCTGCATTAAGCACAGCCTCTCTGTGCGGGTATCGTAGGAAACGAACCAGGATACTTCGCGGAGGCTTATTCGGTGCTGGAGCAGGAGCTAAAGCCCTGTGAGCCTGCTCGATCTCCAACGGCGGATGATCAGCTGGTAGACCGACCAAGGTCGGTAACATGTTTTGGAGAAAGTCCACAAGCGGGGTGTCGCCCTCTACTTTCTCTGGTAAGTTAATGATTTTTAAGTTTTTACGCCGACCACGGTTCTCCAGGTCGTCTAGCTTCTCCAAGGCGGCTATGCTTGTCCCGTGGGTCCCGAGGCTGTCCTCCGTCCCGGAGATCCTCCCCTCGGCCTCCTCCATGCGTTTCTCCAGGTCCGCCGCTCTATTGGAGAGCAGCGATAGGGAGCTCTCCACCGAGTCGACAGACTTTAAAATCGCCCAGTGCGACATTTATAATATCGAGTCGAGTGCCGATAGATGCATCCATATCTTTCATCCGGGAGGACAGCAACTTTACGTCAGATAGGATCTGCTCCATAGTTGTTTGGCTGGTTAGCTCCGAGACGCTAGCATTGGCTTCAGCCTGACTTAGCTCCTTCGAGGCGGTTTTCTTCTTGGTGGAAGAACCGGGCGAGGAGAAAATTGGGAAATCTTTTTCCCGCTGTGGCCTAGGCATCCCCAAAGAGTTTTAAAGTCGATAAGGAGGTATTTAACTGGAGGAAGTTATAAGAATATTTTAAGCCTGGAGCGGAGAGGAGTCTCAAACCTCCATCTTGGTCCGGATCACGTGACCTCACAATCGTGTGTTTGAATTATTTTAAGGTCTTTTATTATTTATTTGCTTATGGTGCAATGATGCTCTATTTTATGGTTGACTGGTTAGACTTAGATTTATTTTGTAATTTTGCATACACGAGTGTAAACAAAAAGAAATTTCGTTTAAAACAGCTCTAGNTCTCTAATGCTGGCTGGCTTGCCAAACAAGGAAGCAGTTGTACTGCATTATGCAGTCCTGTTTCTGACCTTATGCTCACTTAGCAACACAGAGATTGCAACATGAAAACAGGATGTTTACAAGCTGGAAGTCACAAGTCTTTGCAAAACAAAATCATTAGGCCCACTCGCACGCAATCCGGTCACAAGCCAAGACCTTCCAGGAAATGTTATCAGAGCGTCCAGTCGTGCACGGGCATCCACACAGTGCGTTGTGGAGCCTATAAAAGGCCGCCCTCAATGGATTGAAGGTGGGGGAAAACTACAGATGTGAGGACATAGCGCTGAATGTATGAAGTGTTTAAGACAGCTGTATGAATTCGGTTTTGTAAAATAAATGTTTCCCCCCTCCGGAGACAATGGAGTGAATCGTCAGCCTTCTTCCTATCATAAGAGAATTCTACCAATGAGCTTCCACAGTTGCAGACCAGCTGAGAGGGTTGTTACTGGAGGGAGGCTTTGAGCTGTGACAGTGGGCTAGCAGCATGCCAGACTTCATTGGTCACCTGCCTAAGTAGATCAGGTCAGAGAGTAGTCAACAGTTGCTAAATTACACAGACATGGATCTGCAAGAACCTGCCCTGGGGCTGCGTTTGTTATGCCACTCAGATGTGCTGCGGTATAAATCACGGCTGCTGGAGAGCTCCCCTGTCACCATGCGCCACATCTACAAAGTATTAGCCAACCAATACGATCCCATAGGGTTTCTCACACCATATACTATGAGGGCCAAGGTACTTGTTCAGCAGTTGTGGGAGAAGAAGCGGGAATGGGACAACCCTCTGATGCCCGGCGAGTTGCTCACAGCATGGCAAGATTGGGAGAATGAGTTACAGTACCTGGACCGCATTAGTATGCATTGCTGCTACGTTAGTCCAGCCATGGAACATTCAGCCTACAAGCGAGAAGTCCACATTTTCTGTGATACGTCTCAATGTGGGTATGGCAGTGTGGGATATCTGCTCACAGAAAACGCAGAGGAGCATGTGGAGGTGGCTTTCCTGACAGCTTGGTCCCGAGTGGCCCCCAAGCGCCAGCTCTCCATGCCACGGTTGGAGCTGTGTGCTGCACTTACGGGTGCACAACTTGAAAACGTACTAACCAAAGAGCTTACCTTGGAGATATCAAGAGTGGTGATGTGGACAGACTAGACAACTGTTCTTTGTTGGATCCAGTCAGACTCTTGCCGCTTTAAGGTGTTTGCAGGAACCCATATCGCAGAAATTCAAGAGCTGACTGATAGACATGCTTGGCTTGGCCCGGGGAAAATCACTGAAAGACCTCTCAGGTGAGAATCGTTGGGTTTATGGACCCCTGTTCCTGTGGCAGCCACCTGACCAGTGGCAAGTGCACCCAGTTGCAATGCGTGAAGACATCACTGAAGAGTTGTGAAGGTCCATGACCTGCCTGGTTAGCACAGTAACTGGCACCCACCTGTCCATACCTGATGCTCAGCAGTTTAGCACCTTCGGAGAACTGGTGAAAGCCACCGTGGCGTACCTTCACGGGGCTGCTGCTGATGCTAAGGGGACTCCCACAGCAGAGGAGTTCAAGGAAGCGGAACTCAGCATCCTACGGTCCGCTCAAAGAGACAGCTTCCCTGAAGAAGTCCAGTGTCTGGAAGCTGGGAAACAAGTCCCTTCCTCCAGCTGCTTAATCTCGCCGGCTCCAGAATATGATGCATCAGTCCAGCTGGTATGGGTTGGAGGTCGCCTGAGGCGTTGTCAGGAACTGGAGGATGATGTTGTTCATATAATCCTTGACCCGAGACATGCTGTGACTAAGCTGCTCATCCGACAGGTTGACCATGATCTGAAACACCCTGGTGCAGAGCGACTCTTTGCAGAGTTGAGAAGGAAATTCTTGATCCTTCATGGCCGTGAGGCTATAAGAAGAGAACAGCGCTCATGCCCTGAGTGTCAGAGATGGAGAGCCTAACCTGTCAACCCCAAAATGGCAGACTTACCCCCCGCATGACTCAGGCTACACCAACCAGCCTTCTACTCTACGGGGATTGACTGTTTTGGTCTGATGCAGGTTAAAGTCGGCCGACGGAATGATGCTGGGGCTTGCTCTTTAAATGCCTTACGACTAGAGCCATATTGAGGTGCTGTCCACCATCAACACAGACTCCTTCCTGATGGCCTTGAGGAGGTTCATATCCGGCCGGGAGAAACCAACAGAGCTGCTCTCGGACCAGGGCACCAATTTCAGAGGTGGAGATAGAGAATTACAAGAAGCCTTCCAAGCCCTCCATCCTTCTCTCCAAGCAAAGCTGGCAGAGTACCAGATCAAGTTCCGTTTCAACCCACCTAGTGCCCCTCAGCATGGTGGCTCCTGGGAGCGGGAAATCAGATCCATCAAGGCTGCTCTAACTGCTACCCTGGGCTCACAAATTCTCAGTGGAGAAGTGCTTAACACCATCCTGGTTGAAATTGAGGGTATCCTCAATTCCAAACCCCTTGGTTACGTGTCATCTGACATAGCAGACTTGGACCCGGTAATCCCTAATCTGTTCCTGATGGGGCGGCCAGACCCCTCCCTACCTCAGGCAGTATACCACGACTCAGAGCGGCTTAGCCGGCAGCAATGGAGAGCCTGTCAGGTGCTTTCAGATCGCTTTTGGGTGCGGTTCCTACGCCACTACCTGCCCACACTACAAACCCGGTTCAAGTGGCAGTCGGACACATCCCCTCTTCAGCTGGACACAGCTGTGATGATCATCGACCCTCAACTGCCCAGAGCATCATGGCCTGTTGGAAAAATCAAGCCGGTGTTTTCTGGGGCTGATGGTCTGATACTTACAGCAGAGGTTGAAGTTCGGGACCACACCTATGTCCGACCTGTGAGCCGTCTTATCAGACTCCCTGCTATACCAGAGGAGAATAAACAGTGATAGACTGGTTACGACAAATTTGCTGGAGAAAATTTGGGGGGGGGGCTGTATGCCTTAGCTGGGGACTTGGGCCCATCCGGCCACTAGGGGGCACACTCGCGCTCAATCGGGCTGGGTGGCATTACTATGAGGAAGAAGAAGAGACTGACGATGGTGATTCCAGTGTATTGCAAGTAACAGGTTGTGTTTTTAACGTTGTATCCGTCCCTCTGCAGCTTGTGGTTCAGTGTGCGTCCAGAGAAACGTAAGTTATATTGTTTTTTTGCTGGATGAAATTATTGTTGTTTTATGTTTAATCTGTTAGACCGGCTGGTTGAGTTATATCTGGTGCTACAATTCATATTGCTAGCAGTGCTAATTGCTAGTTACCTCAGATGGTTTAAATGGTAATTTATGTTATATTTATGCTACTGACCATTTCCTTTGTTGTCAGTGCCGGACATATATAACTATTATTTAATTTGTGTGCTATTGTTAAATATATTAATAATTGTTATTATTTGTTGATGATTGTTTAAACAATCAAATTGTTATTATTTTTCTAGAACCACACTGGATTAAAGTGCCATAAAAGGACTGACTGTCTCCTTCATTTTTTATAAGTCTTGGGGGAACTTAGTGCGTTCTGACAGACGCACACGTCGTGATTACAAATCAGAGAAGCCCGTCTAATAACTTTGAACCTTCGCTACACTTTCTGTTTTTTTTTTTTTCTTGATCCATCTTAAAATTGTTCCTTTAGACACAAAGAAATGGCTGCAGGGCTCTGCTTGATGCACAGCAGCTTTTAAGACCAGATTCATTCATTTCTCCCTGCAGGTACAGTATAAACAAATGAGACAGTGACCGTTCAAACCTTTTATTTTACCACAACCAGGAAATTGATAATGTGATACATATTAATTGCTTAAGTACTATCCACCTGAATTAAAGAAAAAGATGATTTTTATTCAAATATTGTGTTTATATAGATCTATA